GAGATAACTAGCGCTGTGATGTCAGTCTTCGATCCTTTGGGACTCGCATCACCCATAACGATTCAAGGGAAGTCGCTGATCCAGCAAGTATGGAGGACAGGCATCTCTTGGGATGAAGAAGTTTCACACGAGTTACACGTGTTATTTTGTAAATGGATATCGGAAGTGAAGAAATTAGGTCACTTAGAAGTACCTAGACCCGTTGCTGAAGGCATCGGCAAAGGAGAGTTACATACTTTCACGGATGCTAGTGAAAAAGCATACGCTGCCGCGGTGTATTACGTCACCACGGACGAGCAAGGAATAAGGCGGATTACGCTGATCGCCGCAAAGGCAAGAGTAGCGCCATTGAAACCAATTTCGATTCCAAGGCTTGAATTGCAAGCAGCTCTTATGGGCAGCAGACTGGCTGCTTCGGTTAGTGAAGAGAGCAAGTACGAGATGTCCGAGAGAGTGTTTTGGACAGACTCACGTACAGTGTTAGCGTGGATTAAGTCGGATCCTCGCGCTTTTAAACCATTCGTTGCTCATCGATTGGCTGAGATCGAAGATCACAGTAAGCCATGTGAATGGCGATGGGTTCCAACGTCACAAAACGTGGCAGACGACGCCACTAGAAATTTTCCTTCCACCTTCGATGTAAGTCATCGCTGGTTTCAAGGACCTGAATTCCTCAGGAAAAGTCCTGATTTATGGCCCAAACAAGTGGACACCATAAATAGCTTAGAAACAGGTGAAGAAAAATCGCCAAAGGGCGTAAATACGTTAAGAAAGCAAGAACCGTTAAGTCTACCCGACTACGGACGATTTAGCAGCTTTAAGAAATTCCTTGGAGCAACTACACGCACCTTACAAGCGGTAGAAAAATTCAAGAGTTTAAGAAAGTCGGTTAAAGGACCCGACGACGCAACCGAAAAGTCGGTTATGTGTTCCAACAAAGTTTTAGCAAAGTCGGTTAAAGGACCCGATAGCGCGTTGGACACAGCGCTCTTGAAAAAGGCGGAAATATTAATTTGGAAATTCATTCAAGACGAGTGTTTTCATTCGGAAATAAAATGTTTGAAAGCAGGCAAAAGCGTTGAAAGAAGTTCACGCTTAAGTAAATTATCTATGGAAATAGGAGAGGATAACTTACTCCGTTTAAATGGACGTTTACCTTTCAAGTCTAATTTGACCGAGGAAAGTAGAAAACCTGTCATATTAGACGGCAAACACGAAATCGTTAAAATGATGATTAGAGAAGTTCATCATCATTTTGGACACGCCAATCACCAGACGGTGATGAATGAGGTGAACCAGAAATTTTACGTCTTGAACTTGCGTAATGTAGTACGAAGTGTGTCACACCATTGTCAGTGGTGCAGGACATACAGGTCAAAGCCGCAAAACGTGCCACAAGGAAATATTCCTCTGGAAAGAATAGCTCATCATGAGCCACCTTTTACATGCTCAGCTGTAGATTATTTTGGTCCTATGAGTGTGACTATAGGAAGGCGACACGAAAAACGTTGGGGCGTTTTATTCACGTGTCTGACCACCAGAGCAGTACATCTGGAATTAGCAGCCTCATTGACACCAGCGTCAATGATAATGGCGTTAAGGCGATTTATCGCCAGAAGAGGAAAACCAGCCGTTATATACAGCGATAACGGGACAAATTTCAAAGCTGCAAATAAAGAATTATTGAAAGCATGCGAAGAATGCTATGAGGGCATGACAAACGAGTCATTTAAGAAAAATATTAAATGGAAATTTATACCTCCGGGAGCACCGCACATGGGTGGCGCCTGGGAGAGGTTAGTAAGATCGATTAAAATTGCGTTGACCGCTACGCTTAAGGAGAAGAGCCCACGAGAGGAGGTTCTACATACGTTACTTTTAGAAGCAGAGCATACGGTAAATTCCAGACCTCTGGTAACATTCAGTATGGATAGTCCTGAAGAGGGTTTGACACCCAATCATTTTCTTCTGGGACGCTCATGTGGTGATCGACCACCTGGATTATTTTTAGAGCGACATCTGACGGGTCAACTCAATTGGAAAGCTGCACAGAGGTTAGCCGACCATTTTTGGACAAGATGGCTGAAAGAATACATGCCTACGTTAATACCTCGAACAGGTGATAACGGCAAGTTCATGGAACCTAAAGAAGGCGATATTGTTTTGATAATAGATCATTCGTTGCCACGAAATACGTGGCCAAAAGGTAAAATTAGTAGAACGTTACCGGGACCAGACGGTCACACCAGAGTGGTTGACGTCATTACTAGCACAGGTATCTTGAGGAGACCTACATCCAGAATAATAGTCCTGGTACCCGCGACGCCTCCCAAATGATGGTGCTAACGCACGGGGGGGAGATTGTTGGCGACGCGCCTATAAAAATGTTTCAGTTTATTAAATCAACCGATGACGTTGCTATGAAAAAAGGGGCAGTCACGAGCAACGACGCTCTGATAAGAGAATGCTTAGTTAAATCTTTAAGAAATGTCGAATTAATGATATGAAGGTCTTGGGTTCGACTCCCAGGCCGGACTAGTTTGTTTGTTTTCCTAAGTAATATCGCTTAATAAATTCGTAAGGAATTTAAGATATAAATTATGTTACCGGATTTGTTCCCCGGTTGAAATCATCTTTCAAATGATGTAAATTCATAAGAATATTAAAGTGAAGTTAAAGATCGGATTTGTTCCCCGGTCGAGATAATCACTCTGTGCATAGGCAGAATTAATGGATATTAATTGCATAAATGTTGTTTTGTATAAGTTTGATACGTTTTGTACGAAAACAAATGCCTATTTGTTATGATTGATTAATGAGAACATTCATTTATATTGTTATCTGATTAAAGATAGTTTCGTACAGTTCGAAAATTGTATAAAAGCATTTAATTTGCCTAATATGGTCAAAATTGGTGTATTTCATAATTTAATTTTTTCTGATAGCCGAGAGCCGTGCAAAGTTAGTTGTTCACATAGCGCGAGTACACAGAAGCACGCTGGCCACGCCCTTAGGAGGCCGAATATGTAAAAATTTAAAATGTTTGTAATTCAGTGATTTATGTAAAAATTACTTGTAAAATATTTCAGGTTAATTGTACGTGCTAAAAAGGTAAATTCTGTGTTATTTTCATGTGAAAATTCCTGTGTATAAGTGAAATAATGACAGTTTTGTATAAGAAATTTAAAAGTGTTTTAAATAGTGAAATAAATAGAAAAAAATGTAAATTAAACTATTGTATTGGTTAGCTTATATATAAATTCAAGTGAGAAACATTGTTTTAACTTTCTGTGTTAAATATTTAAGAAATTTCGATTTCGAACTTGTGAGTAAAATAGGCAGTTTTCGTTTAATAAATAAAAGGTTTTTTATGATATGAAGATATGATGTATATCATGGTGTAGATATTGTTTTGTACTACCTATATTGATAAATTGTATTTGTATATGATTTGAATAAATAAAGATATTGAGTGAAACGTGAGAGAGTAATAGTACAAATTCATGTAATTAAGTTGCGCAAGCGCGCAGATGGCGCGGCTCACTTTCGCGTATAGCTCTGGGGTAGCTTAGTGAACGGGTTTTATTGCAATTCGTTCGGGAATCGTTCGGGAATCGTTCGGGAATCCTTCGAGATAGTTCGGGGAAGTTCGGAAATAAATAAGAAAATCCGGGAAAAAGTTCAAGAAAAGTGAAAAACCAGCAGTATAGGGAAAAGTGATTACTCTCTCACGGAACGGTTTGAAGATAATTGCTGTTTCATTCCCAAGATCCTTTAAGTTATACAGTCCACATCGAAGAATTAAGGCGTCGGGACCGGGACGACTTCGGAAGACCCGTAATCCCCGTCTGAACCTACTTGCTGAAAAGGAAGAGGTTATCGCCCTAGTGTGTTACTCCGTTGCGGAGATCACATACGTTGTTCCCGAACCCAACGTAGGCGTGATAGGAGGCCGGATCGAGAGAAGCCTCGATTCCTGTTTTCTTAGTACCCGATCCGCTAGGTCCTTTTCAATTGGTCCTTCGCGGCCGGATTGAGAGGACTCGCGAACCTGGTCCTTTTCAATTGGTCCTTTTCAGGATCAAGAGGACGTCCAACCTGAGGTCCTTTTCACAGATTACAGAAGGATCGATTAAAAGGGTGAGAGGTCATTCTCTAATAGATACCTACCTACGTATTACGTTATTCTGCGTTTGCCCCGAAGGAATTTAACCAATTTCAAGTCCTGGTTTTTGGCCTATGAACCTTACCCCTTTGCGGGTCTCTGCACCTCCATGGGAGGCGCGCCACTATATTTAAAATCCCCTGCTCGAGAGGCTATCGATCCGTGACGCCGACGAGCCATGTGTCTTTATTAAACAGATATGCAAATTTTTACCCGTTGTCTAAAAATCGTCAACAGTATATCTGGTGTTTGAAGTTGCAGTGATATTTCTAAAGTAACTGCATAGGCAACTGAGCATCGCCGCTGGAGCCAAAGGCGCTGGTTCTTTCCGCACCCAAAGCCTTAGTAAAGCCATTCAGCGAGGAAATGCAACCAGCGTTCTTAGCTCTATACCGTGCGGTGTAGGTCTCTTTGATAATTTTAGTTTTTATGAACGGCATAGCGTGATAGAGAAATGGGAATATTAGATGCCCTAATTCGGGTTTAGATTACTATTAGATTATGCGCTTTTTAATAACCTATAAGCTATACTTTTACGTGTTAAATACATACTGCAGCTGTTATCGTTGTAGCACGAATGGGTCGGATTATTCGAGGAAGGACCACGCTCACACAGAATATCAGCATAAAATAGCAGCTCAATACTACTGCAATTAGTATAGTGAGTGAAAAGAACCAGAGATCCATTTAACTGGATACAAGGCATTCCAGAGGCAGAGGAAGAGGAATATATGTAAATGTCTATGGGCCAATACATTAATTTACCGTCTGATGGACTGTGTGTTTGTTTTTCATTCTTATTGTATGAAAATGCTAGAAAGAAAAAGAACGTTACCTTCTGTACAAAAGATCCGCGGCACCGGGCGCGAGTGGCTGGTGCTGTGGTAGCCCGGTTCGCACTGGCAGAACGCGTTGTGGTTGACTTGTACGCAGGTGGCATGGGGGTCGAACGCGTGGCATGTTTGCCGGTAGAAGCATTGCTCGCCCAGCTTCTTTGCTGGAATGTGTAGACAAGTAGGTTAAGTGGGTATATAATAAAATTAAAGACCGCTCAGTCGTGTTATAATTGATTTTTTTATAGGATAGGGTGACAAACGAGCACACAGTCCACCTGATGGTAAGTGGTTGCTGCGGCCCATAGACATCTACATCTATCCTCGATTACCTACAAATTAAAATGTAGATGCGTTGCCACCCGTGAGGACTAAGATGGAATGCCTCATTCCCAGTATAAAGGTTCTCCGGTTCTCTACACTCACCATACGAAACACAGCAGTATTAAGCTACTATTTTACGCTGGTATTCTGTGAGAGCGTGGTCCTTCCACGGTCGAGCCGACCCATTCGTGCTACAACTATACTTCTAATATAACTGCAGCATGACTCTACCACATGTAAAAATTTGTTGTCGAAGGGGGACTACAATCCCACAGAATACCAGCATAAAATATCAGCTTAGTGCTGCTGTGTTTCGTATGGTAAGTGTGGAGAACCGGAGACCCTTTTTAATGGAAACGAGGCATTCCAAATAAATTCTCAGGTGTAACAACGCATCTATATTTTGATTTTTAATCGAGGATGGACACACACATCGGAACAAGCAAGCAAGAAATAAGCCCTCAAGATCCCTATTAGGTTTAAGTGTTAACTGCCGCACAATAATTGTTGTATATAGTTTTAATATAGTGATTTGTTTTTAAATCTTTAATTTCAACTCACTCCTTATTTATTAGTCAGACAGATGTCAAAGGTTCAGGTTCAGTAATAGTTTAATTCAATTTCAATAATAGTTCCTAGCAAAAACACACAAATAAATAAATATACAGTCCATTTGCTCTCATCCCTACATTTCTTTGGTAGATGTCTATTCAGTATCTACTTACCATTAGGTGGACTGTACGCGCGTTTGTTACCCTTATTCTATAAGAAACACAACATGATGATTGAACGTCGTGATTAGTTTTTGTCTGGAAATTTAAAAAATAGGTATTATTTTTTTGCATTAGCCGAAGAATTAAACTGTATTTTTACACAAGTTATATAATTTAGCCATTGTTAATTTTAAATGATTTATTATGTATTAAAAGGGATACCATGGTATGTCATGGAAAGTGGTCCCATACCTACAAGTTTCAAACACATTCTGATTATAATTGACTGACGCCTGTTTATTGCAAAATAATTGCGAAAGGAAGTTTTGCTATTCCTGTAAAGCAAGTGCTGGTCAGTATCAGTGAATTGCTGCCTATAATACACACATATATGTATTTAGTTACAGAGATTTTGAGTTTTAAAATAACCTTATTACAGAATATAATTTAGTAAATAAAATCACGGACGTAAAAAAGAAAAATAATTGTTACAGCCTCATCTAATATCTAAAGACAAACTACTTAAGTTATAGGACATTCAATTTTATTATATAGGTATTTTTTGGTTCCTAACTACGACTCTTCACTTTATATTGCTTTACTACATAGCTTTATGTTCTTATTTGATTTTATAATATGTAAACTTGAATACAGTTGTAATAATCAGAAATCTACTACATGAATGTCAAAATTTAATCAAAATTCATTACATTAATTTGCTAAAGGATTAACAATAATATGTTTTAAAAAAGTTAAATTTGGTAATTTTGAAAAAGCCGATTATTAAAATCCTCCTATTTTATTAATAATGATGTTCTCCAGACCGAATTCCGGAAATGGCGGTCAGTCTAAATGAAGACTAGCCATAGGACGGGATTATAGTGCAGGAGTGTGTGAGTAAACACAGGACCACTCTCTATTCTCTTATTCTCATTGTCCAATGTGACGGTAATCCGACACGATCGTAGAGAGATCAGGCGTAGGACTAGAGGCTCTATACGTATTTTCCGAGGTACGGGAGTTAAGCACCGTTTCCTGACTTCGTGCTCCTAATGAGAATTTCTTGACAGAAAAAAGCCGATGATGTTTCTCGTCGGACCCGGGATTCAAACTCGGAATCACAAACGCAGCAGTCGTACGTTACGACCACTACATAATCTTTGAAGGTACCACCATAGGTGGACTCTGTGTGTGTAGGTGAAATCCTACGTAATTAAATAAATAGAATATACCCAGAATACACAGATAAGGAGCCGTGGTAGCTCAGATGGTTAGCGCTCGCTATAAATTTCACAGTACACGAGCAAACCGGGTTCGATCACCGCCCGCACCAATGAAATTGTTAATTGCAATTTTAAGTGCTGATTTACCACGTGCTCGGCGGTGAAGAAAAACATCGTGAGGAAACCTGCATGCCAGAGAAATAAGAAAAAAATATTTCGAAGACATGTGAAGTTCGCCACCACGCATTGGGGCAGCGCTGCGGACAATTCCTTGCCCTAAAAACCTCTCAGAAATGAGCGGAGGCCTGTGCCCAGCAGTGGGACGTATATAGGCTGTAAATTTTACACAGAAAAGCAGTCCCTGCACAACATGTAGAGATAAAAAGTGTGATTAAAAACTTCAATGAAGTCTAAAGTTGTGTTGTATCAACGCTTTTTGGAAGACCGTATTTTCATTGATGCCAGCGGTCTTTCATGGATGAAGTAGGTTGGTACTCACGCTTAGCACAACCTTTGTCGACACCAAGCGCGACGGGGTGCTTCGGATCGCACTGGCAGGACAGCGTGGACGGCTCGCAGTACACGTGCTGAAGGTTCGGGTTGCACGTGAAATCGCAGGGAGAGCCAAGGTACATGCCCTTTTCTGTAAGCAAAATGGAAATTTAAAACAAAATCGGTCAATGATTTCTTATATTTACGCGATCACTACACTTTGAATAAAACAATTATACGGATTTTATCACACTTAATTTTAAGTAATACATACAACCAGTGCGTGTCGCCAATAATGACTTACGGATCTGAGATGTGGTCGTATGAGGTCAAACAGGTGATCCAGCAACAAGGTGGCTCAGCGAGCTATGGAAGTGCTATGCTCGGGGTTTCTCTGCGTGATAAACTTAGAAATGAGGATATCCGGAGTACAACCAGAGTGACCGACATAGCCCAGCGGATGAGTTAGCTGAAGTGGCAATGGGCCGGCCATATAGCTCGAAGAACCGACAACCGATGGGGTAAAAAGGTTCCCGAGTGGTAACGTGGCGTAGTGTAGGGCGACCCTCCACTAGATGGAGTGACGACCTGATAAGACATGCAGGAAGTCGATGGATGCAGGTGGCTCAGGACCATGCTTTGTGGCATACCTTGGGGGTGGCCTATGTTCAGCAGTGGATTTGTGGATGGAATGATGATGATGAATTTTAGGTAAAATTATTAATTATTTATTTTACGTAAAATTTAAACGCGACAAAATCCGTTATAATAATTTCAATCGAAATCGGTCAAGTGCGATCTCACAGCCTAGGTTCCTCCTGGTATTGCTCTTTATTTGTTCCATCAAAAAAATTCTTTCGTAAAAAAAATCACAATTGATTCACGTATTCCGAAGATTATCTCGGATAGACAGATAGACAATATTAGCAGATATGTTTTTTTATTTTATTTTTTAACATGTGCGTTTAATAGAACCGGCTATTTTAATATTGCAGACGGAATCTTAAATTTTATTTACATGATAGATTTAATCTATGACTCTTTTACCATCATTAATTTTGTAATTAGAGTATACATAAGATTTATTGCTTATGTATATGTCGTAGGATAATTAGATAAGCCGAATTTTCAGCAAAAATCTAGGGTTAAAAAAATTGCTAAAACACGGATAATTAGACAACGGCTATAACATTTCTCAATCTTACTAAAAAAGATTAGGGGTTTTGCAACTTTGAATATCTATACTTAACTCTGATTGGCTTGATTTTGGTTTATAGGCGTACAGTTTATGAGTAATATTTTTTTTTGTAAAATCATGAACTGACTTTTTACACAGGGATATTGACCCAAAGTTACTTCTGTAACAGCCTCGGCGCCTACGGCTTTACAAAAGCACTCTCGTGGTAGGGCAGACAAGACTATGTTGAGTCGGGGCGTGCTGATTTGGTTTTAGAACAGATTCGACCAATCGTGTTATTATATTCATTATGTCATATAATTAGAAATCGCCTGTGATAGATAAATGGAAGTACATAGCATTAGGTCCGCGGTCAGCGTTCTTTAAAATGAAAATATGTAAAGATTAATATGCTTTTACATTTGCCTATGTTTATAATACTAAAAAGAAACCCACAGGCGCGATGCTAAGCGAGCAAAGTTCAATCGAAACAATAACAAAAGAAGTGAGCATCTAGAAATCATTCCTTTTCAGATGAGCTATCTCGATTTCTCTTTTTATGGAAGCGACGTTAGTACTTTGTGAATTCCTTATGCGCTTGGAAGCGGGAAATTAACTCCAATGATACTTACTCGGAATTTAAAAGTTGTAACTTACGGAATCGGGACAATGGAAAATAACCTTTATGATAAATGTTGATGTTACATTTTACATTGTACCCAATAAGAAGAGTTGTTTTACCTTTTGAATTATTGAAGAGGTGTTCGGATAGGAAAAGATTAATACCTACGGTATATTATTGGGGTATAGGCAGACATAACATCAATACTTAAATGTTCATATGCTTTGATTGAATTTACTCGATATGATTACTTCTGTGAATTATCGTTATTGAATAGCCGTGTTATCTCAGGAGCCAAGAGCTTGACGTAAATTTAAAGGTACAAAAGTAGTCTGGGTTGGATCACCGCCGGTACCAATGAAATTGTTAATTGCAACTTTATTGCATTTACATGTTATTTTATGTGATATATTACAGCACATGCACCCAACAAGGGTACAACAATATGAAATAACGATAGCTAGAAAGCTAGCTCTAATGTCTTAATTCTAATACTAATATTTATATATTTTTTATACATGCAGGTATTATTTTAGAATTTAGTACACGTTATATTACCATATTTATTTATTTACTTCAATTAAACTTAATATTTATCTAATTTATAGAAATATTTCTAAATCAAAAAGCTTTTTAGTGCTATCACAAAGTTCTTATATTCTTCCATCTCTAAGAAAGAACTGTATAAAGATAAAGTGGTTTTTGGCAATATTAATTTAAGTTAAAATATCAATTAAAGTTGTATATTATGTATATTTATATTATTATCACCAGCTTTTTGAAATATGTCTAAGTATATATTTTCTTATTAATTTACATGATTCTAATATGTGTATTTTTATTTTTTCACTCCAATATCTATGTATATAAAATTACGTGCTGATTTACCACTAGTTCGGCAATGAAGAAAACATCGTGAAGAAACCATCATGCCTGTGAAAAAAAAAGTAATAAAAATATAACAAGGTCACGTGAACTTCGCCAACACGCATTGGAGCAGCGTGGCAGTTACTTTCTAAGAACCTTCTCAAAAGTATTAGGGAGGCTGAGCCCAGCTGTGACATGTACATAGTAGTTCTAACTTTACGAGTAACTTCAATTCCATTAATAAGGCAATGTGTGTCCTTAGATTTTGTTGAAGTTAAAATAAACCCCTTGCGCACCATATGGAGATAGTTAGAAAAGTTAAAGTTAGCCTATATACGTCCCCTGCTGGGCACAGGCCTCCCTTCATTTCTGAGTGGGTTGCCCTAATGCAAGGAAGCGTCCGCCGCGATGCCCCAATGCGTGTTGGCGAAATTCAAATGTTTTCGAATTTTTTTTTCTTATTTCTCACACATGGAGGTTTCCTCACTAAGTTTTCCTTCACCGCCGAGCACGTGGTAAATCAGCACTTAAAATTGCAATTAACAATTTGAACCCGGTTTGCTGGCGTACTGTTGAACTTTACAGCGAGCTTTACATCTGAGCTACCATTGCTCTCACGGCTGGAAATAGTGATGATCGAAATTGACTGTTGTTGTGTTCAGCATCACCTTATTAATCTAATCGGAATACATCGTAGACAGAGAAACCTATAGACTAATGATCAGCGTGGCCTCGAGTGAGTAAGAACGATAACGAATTTTTAGGTTATAGAATAATCTTTATGACTTTTAAACACATTTAGATAAAAATTTTAATTGTTCTAAGAACTGAACTGAACAAGATTCGCCAATCCTAAGCTCACAAAACACTTTTTTCTCACTTAAACCAACTTGTAAACTCCTTAAATCACTACGCTGTCAAAGTTGTTTAGCCAAACTCTACAGTTTGCTAAACAAAAAAACCGGCACGGAGAAAGGGACAAACAATCACACCGCTCTATCTCATTTCTATGCATGACGTATGCATAAATCTATCTTTTTCGTGTGCGAATGCGAAAGAAGGCGTCAATTTGTCTATAGGTTTCTCTGTCTACGGAATAGATATAGATATAGATAATAGATAGTTCGAGTGCAATTTATAGTGTCTTTTCAGTCTATTCACACCTGTAACTAATTCGATGTAATTGTGACTTATCCCTGAAAACTAAGATAAAATGCCGCTTATCCATTCAACAAGAATACGATTTTTATTGACGGCTGCTTGCGATAGTTGCAGTTAAGAGGATAGTAGTAGGTACTTAATCGTATGAACTCTTGGACAGCAAAGGAGTTATTCCCGCTAGTATAAATTATAACAAGCTTAACGGTTAAAACGGTAATTAAAAAAACCGGCTGCGTTAATTTAACATTTTAGTAGCAGTGTAAGAATATCCACTATATTATGTGCCAATCGATTGAGAAAAACGGACAATTACTTCAGATATGAGCCGAGTGTCAAAAGGTGTAACTTACAAAATCTTAATTTAGATGTGATAAACGATATTTAAATATTGATATCATTCACACTTCTAGGTCAGCACATATATTTTGTTTCTTAAATAATATTGTGGTTCCTATAAACATCGTAAAATTTTACGGTACATCGAGGAAATTGTGTTATATTTCAATTTATGGTAAGTAACGCAGCAACTCATTTTATAACAGTTTCATATAAAAAAATATTTGAAGTATTAGATGAATATAATCACCATATTGAGCTTTTGCAAATTCATCCCTTTAAAATAAACAAAACGTCACTAGCGCCATCTAGTATCAAGTAGCAGAACTAGGAGAGCTTTCTAGAAAATTCCATATTAGAACTTTCTACACCTAGTCGGTCGGGACCGGTATGTACTCGAACATTCTAGATGTTTCAGTAGAAGAGGCCCCTATATAAGGCCGGTAAGGACCGCGATCGGGTCGGTATTGAATTAGCAATTCAAGCGAATATTTCGAAGATATATAACTGCGAACTAAAGTGATCAGCAGTGCAATTGTGTTTAAATATAAGTGTGTTTTAAGTTGTAATTGATGTTCGGTAATTAAAGTGTCAATTTTATTAATTCAATAGGCAATTTTTACTGTCACGAACCCGAAGCTCGTAACAATATTATATAGCTTATATCGCTTTAACAATTAAGACAAGTTCAACGATACCCCATATGTTAAAATCCATCAAGCCGTTTAGGCTTCAGAGCGTCCCAAAGAAATAGACGTACATTAGACATGTGTCAATCATTCATCTCTCGTGACCGAATCATTCTAGTACATTTCGTCATGCGTACCGGTACATTCAGATCGATCATTCAAATGGATAATTTCGAGCTCCAGTACCCTCACTAAAAACAATTCATTTAGATCATTCGGGATTCGGTCGGTTTTCACCTCATTCCCAATTCACACCAATCACGAGTCTAAAAGGTTGCGTCAATATTTTGTGATTGGTT